GTTGTATCCACGTTTCCAAGGACACGAATAGAATTGCCCCGGTGTTAAGGGTTTCATGTTGATTTCACTGTCGGGTCACTGAAGTTTTAGGTCCATGGCTTGATTCCCTGGTTAGTTTGCAGGCAACCATGGCGGGAGGACTGTTGGCGGCGTCACGCAACAAACCCATGATATAATGTGTGCAGCTTGTGTGAATGACGATGCTTCAGTGGATATGCTAACCGCTTTTGTGAACAATTGGAGTGATCACTGGTTTTCAGTGTTATATTTAGCGATAGTTTTGATTTAAACGCCCACTGGAGTCTCTTTTGGAGGATAATCGAGACTGGACATTCTCTGGCGATGACTTTGTATATTTAACATACAAACAAGCAAACAAATCATATTATATATTTCGTCGTGGTAAGATAGCACCCAGTCAACCAAAAAACTGAGCCGGTCCATCCGTATCTCCTAAGTCGACCTCTCACAAGCACGGGGTACCGGAGACATTCTCATGAACTCAACTTGTCCATGGCATAAATTAAATTAACTTAAATTAACTTAAATTAACTTAATAAAATTAAATTAATTTTTTTATGTACTCCACTGTACGCCCATGGTACATTATCTGGTACAGTATACCCCGGAGTCCATTTGTACATTATACCACTGTGTACCAGTGAAGTTCATAATAATATAACTTCCTTGATATGGATTACAAGACAAATAAAGGTAACTATATTTCTTTTGAATGCTTCATTTGGAGCAGGAGCGGTGAGGTAGCCTAGTGGTTAAAGCGTTTTCTCGTCACGCAGAAGACCCGGTTCGAATCTCCACATGGGTACAATGTGTGAAGCCCATTTCTGGTGTCCCTTGCCGTGATATTGCTGGAATATTGCTGAAGGCGGCGTAAAACTAAACTCACTCTCTATCTATTCAGAAGAGTGTACACTACAAGCGACGTAAAACCCAACTCACTCACTATTCCACCACTGGAACTCAATTGGTGGTATATATTTTGAACACAATGACCAAATGATAGCTGACTATACAGCATAACTGACTGCATCTTGGTGAACATGTTGGTAAAATAGCAGTTATATTTTAGGTTGTATCCACGTTTCCAAGGACACGAATAGAATTGCCCCGGTGTTAAGGGTTTCATGTTGATTTCACTGTCGGGTCACTGAAGTTTTAGGTCCATGGCTTGATTCCCTGGTTAGTTTGCAGGCAACCATGGCGGAGGACTGTTGGCGGCGTCACGCAACAAACCCATGATATAATGTGTGCAGCTTGTGTGAATGACGATGCTTCAGTGGATATGCTAACCGCTTTTGTGAACAATTGGAGTGATCACTGGTTTTCAGTGTTATATTTAGCGATAGTTTTGATTTAAACGCCCACTGGAGTCTCTTTTGGAGGATAATCGAGACTGGACATTCTCTGGCGATGACTTTGTATATTTAACATACAAACAAGCAAACAAATCATATTATATATTTCGTCGTGGTAAGATAGCACCCAGTCAACCAAAAAACTGAGCCGGTCCATCCGTATCTCCTAAGTCGACCTCTCACAAGCACGGGGTACCGGAGACATTCTCATGAACTCAACTTGTCCATGGCATAAATTAAATTAACTTAAATTAACTTAAATTAACTTAATAAAATTAAATTAATTTTTTTATGTACTCCACTGTACGCCCATGGTACATTAGCTGGTACAGTATACCCCGGAGTCCATTTGTACATTATACCACTGTGTACCAGTGAAGTTCATAATAATATAACTTCCTTGATATGGATTACAAGACAAATAAAGGTAACTATATTTCTTTTGAATGCTTCATTTGGAGCAGGAGCGGTGAGGTAGCCTAGTGGTTAAAGCGTTCGCTCGTCACGCAGAAGACCCGGGTTCGATTCCCCACATGGGTACAACGTGTGAACCCCATTTCTGTCGTCCCCCGCCGTGATACTGCTGGAATATTGCTGAAGGCGGCGTAAAACTAAACTCACTCTCTCTCTATTCAGAAGAGTGTACACTATGCATGTACTTGTTGTTGTGTGTGTTGTGTGAAGCATGCTGAATGTTAGCTCATTGACAAATAAATATGCAAGCTGATCCGACCCACCCGACATTGTATTGTTGCATTAAACACTGCATGAGATACGCACATTATCAATTCATATGAATATTTCGATTTCATTTTCAATGCGGCACAAACATGCAGGAACAGCCCTGCACGCTCTGTCGGTTCTATTCAATTCGTGCCCACGTGAAGAGTGCCTGGTCACATCCATAAAAAGCTAACTCGATTTACCGATAATTTCAGCCGCAGCCGTCATTATATATTTTGACGAGTACTTTTGGGTTATGCACGCTCAACTGGAATGTTGCTCTTTTCGGGGATTATGCCCAAGGTGTCCCGTTATACGGCATGACAACTCAGGAATCATACGGGTATTTATAGATTCGGGAGCTTTATTAATGATAAATATGAATATAATAAACACAAGTCGCTAAAATATGTCCTGCGAAAAGCAGCAAAATTGGAGATGCGGATCTTTTGTGTAGTAAGGACATAAATCTAAACAGGTTGGGATGACATTTCCAAAATTTCCTTGAGCATGCACTAGTGCGTGGATATGTGCGCTATATAAATATCCTATAATATGTCTTAACAAACACGCTTATAACCAATAACGACGGATGTACGAAAACATTCGGTCAATGTCACCTTATGCATACTTTAGTCGAAATGAGTATAACGAACTGAATGGAAGGTCACTTTGAGTTCGTTATAACCTAGTTTACAGTATTCACAGAGCGTTAGCCATGTTGAATGACAGTGCAGTGGTGTCATTTCCAGTTGAAGGTAATATAACACATCACATCAGATGTGGTGAACTTATATCCGTTTCCTTAATTGCCAATGTACGTATGTACAATGTGTCGGTAAGTGACGGACAGTGGCGGTTTATCTGAACTCCTTAGTGAAGGCTCGGGTTGGCTAGGAGACAAACCACTTTCGATATGGTCATTTTTCTCTGAACAGTTTCTCTTACAAGCTGCCTTTACAATGAGGTTAAATTCAGTCTGAATTAATATTATAAACCGAGGTGCGTTATCTCGATACATAATTCTGGAATCCCAGTTGTGTCGATCGATGTTCATGGTGTCGATCACTGGATTGTCTGGTCCAGACTAGTTTATTTACAAGACACCGCTGAGAGTCAGACAACTAACCAAAAAACCAACCAACCAACCATACAGCAACAGTAACAACCAGCCATCCAACCAACCAACCATCCAACCAATTAGTAGATAATTATAAGTTCTGTGAGCTACAGGGAAACCATCCAACACAATATTACCTGAATTCAATATTTATTATTTTAAATAAGGCTTTACGGAAATATGTTTCTTCAACAATGCATAAAGAAACATATCACCACTACATATTATTACAGGCAAATCATGTTGAGGGTTACGTTTGCTCTACAAATACATATTGATATAAAGATTTATGACTCCCTGGTTGACCTAATAAACCCTAAAAAAACATGTGTAAAGAAGAGGCTTATCTTTGATGCCCATTGGTATTTCAATTGATATATGCCTGATATAAAATTTCTTTACTTTTTAAGGTACCAGGAGGGGTCTGGTTTCTTAACAATTGTCACCAATATTTGAAACGATTAACCGCCAAGACTTGAAGTGGATATCAAGGGGTAACATCATTCACCCAATATGTAACAGACATCACCTGGCGTGGAAGATTTGACCTCTGAGACTCTTACAGCAAGGGTTTGTGTAGGTCTTTAATATTATCCGACACCAACACATACAAAATGGGAACAACCTTTGCATGTAAAGAGTTAAAGGAATATGCTCGTACATCCCAAGTGACTTCGAGATAGAAATATAACAATATCATTTTAGCCTGATCTTCCGATTTATTACAATGTTTTGACAAATGCACCTACTTATAAGATGACACAGAAATAATGATCAGATGACACTCTCATTTGGGTTAAGACCATACTAAATATCTCATATCTTTTTATCTCATATCTGAAAAGAATCCTTAGTTTACATCCTTAAAGACAACAGCTATCGTCTTACTAGGGTTACTACGTCAAATTATTGTTATTTGAAAGCTCATGCCGAGAGCCAACTATGTTATATAGAGACGACTCGAAGTGGTGTTCAACAACTCTGTGAATAATACACATTCGTCACAGTCCACTGGCCCCGACATATTCTGGCTCTGCAAGCATCCAGCCTCGGGTGGGTGACTATCGCACACACATTAGAGACTTTGTGATGATCTAAACAGGAGTGAATGTCACCTCTGCCCGGGCATCACAACATGGGATGAAGATAAGATATTTGAATTTTATAACATTTAACATTTATCGCAGTTTGAACGTTAGAATATTACTGGAACGCCAGGGGCTGGCATATGATATCTGATAAAGGACCAGGTCTGTTTGATACAAGAGGATATGAAACTTACATGTGTTACATCAATAATTTGTGTGGATTACAGTCTCTTCATTTACATTGTTCCAATAGTGACAATATATATGTCACTCGTGGCTGTAGAGTGAGTGAGTGAGTTTTACGCCGCTATTAGCAATATTCCAACAATATCACGACGGGGGACACCAGAAATAGGCTTCACACACTGTACCCATGAGGGGAATCAAACCCAGGTCTTCGGCGTGACGAACGAATGCTTTAACCACTAGGGTTACCCCACAGCTCTCGTGTCTGAAGAAGCTACCAATCGCGGATCAAAGTTGAATTATAATATTTACCAGAGTGAAACGCATATCAAAGTTATATCAAAATGTATACTGTCCTATTTTAGCATAACCTGTACGTGTTATAGTGTTTACAATAATTTTAATAACCTGAATATTCCAGGTCACTGAGACTAGGTTACCTTGCCTGGTTACTTCACTAACTGCTTGTCTCCACGCCCTGATGGATCTTTGACATCACTGGTTTGCCTGGTTTATATAGGTGATGATGGTGATAGGGACGGGGATGGGGATGGGAATGAGGATTGGGATGGGGATGGGGGGGATGGGGATGGGGGATGGGGATGGGGATGGGCATGATGATGGGGATGAGGATGGAGATGGGGTGAGGATGGTGATGGGTTGGGGATGGGGATGGGATGGGATGGGGATGAGGACGTGGGTGGGATGGGGATGGGATGGGGATGATGGGATGGGGATGAGGATGGGCAGATGATGGTGAGGATGGAGATGGGTTGGGGATGGGATGGGGATGGGGATGAGGATGGGGTGGGATGGGGATGGGATTGGGATGGGGATGGGGATGGGCATGATGGGGGATGAAGATGGAGATGGGGTGAGGATGGTGATGGGTTGGGGATGGGGAGTAAGGATGGGGATGGGGATGGGTGGGGAAGAGGATGGGGATTGGGGTGAGGATGGAGATAGTGTTGGGGATTAGGATGGAGATGGGGTGAGGATGGAGATGGGGTGAGGATGGGGATTGGGGTGAGGGATGGGGATGGGTGGGATGGGGATGGGGATGGGGTGGGGTGGGGGTGAAGATGGGGATGGGGGGAGGATGAGGATAATGCTGGTGGTGGTTGTCCTGCCGCTGATGATGATGAGGGAGTGATCAACGCGGAGGCCCTTTATGACAGAATACTGAGCACTTTTGCACTCATGTATTTGGTCTTTGAATGGCATTTGATGAAGGATTATAGACTCCGAAACGTCACGTTCCTCATGATAAAGAAGTTGACATCCATAAAATTCTCTTACTCGTATATTTGTCTAATGATTCCCTCGGGAAACGAGTCAAAGGTCATGATGAAATAAAGGCATGCCAGAGCCAAGTATAAGGACATAATCTCTATGTCATTGTTGAATGTTGATGGTTCAGTCCTCTTAAACGGTACAGAAATAAGTGTCAGTCAAGTGACGTGGCATCTCAGATCTCCACAGGCGACATTCTGGTTTGGCTGGATCCTTTTATTGCGTTTCTCGCCAAGTTTGCGACCCAGAAAATGATAATTATAGAATTCTTTGGAACAGACCTAGGTTTAGCCTCAGGCGTATCCTTACCAAGAAACCTGACCTTGTCATATTGATAAATCAGTGAAATCATATATACCATCGAATTTCTTGTCCATTTTGACACAAAAAAGAATGACAAGATTCTGGAAAAACATTAGAGACGAAAAGAGGTCACCCTGTCTCACAGTTTACGGTTGCTACTTTAAACACTTCACAATAAATGTTATTGCTACATGGTTTAAGCTTTTCTTAGTCAATAACATCAACAATGCGTCTGTACGTTTTGGATTATGCGTTTTGCATTTAATATATGACTCATCACTTTCCTTTGAGGACACACGTAATGTGAACCGGTCGTTTTGTAAAGTGCAATTTGATTGAAGTATTTTTCTTAGTCTATTCAAACCCCATACATGAACATTTTCGTACGCAAGTCGAGGTAAACGCTGAGAAAATACAAAAGATGTTGTAATGTGTTGTTGTACATTGATAGAAATAGCCTATACAGAAATCCAACCAGCGATATCTCCCTCGAGTTTAAGTGTATGTTAATTACGTCATGCATGACACACTATTCTTACATAATGTGCAGTCTCCGTGGCCTAGTGGGGAGCATCGACCAGAGAGCTGTACATGGTGGTTCGAACCCTGGTCGCGTCATACCAAAAGGCAGAGGGAACTTGTTACCATGCCCAGTGCTAGTATAAAACTAGGACTGATTGGCGTGGTGTCAGTACACCGTGCCTGAGGTTGGCATCCGTGTTAACCAGCGGGCTCGTGTCGCAGAGGCTTGCACTAAAAATCCGATTAGGAGAAGAAGACAAATACACATGCGTGCGCGCGCGCACGCACGCACACACACACACACACACACCGCGTGGATCCATAAGTGCTACATCTAACGCAGTGTGAAACATCATTTCAGCCCATGTTACAAAACGGCCACCATTTTACATGACGTCAGACCACAGTTACCTCCCGTGTTTTGACCAGGAAGAAAAATAGGAGAATGAATTCCCCTGTCTAAATGCTCTGTTCAGTCTGTGATAAGATGTATAGATTGACTTGTGATATCTCACATGAAAGATCAAACACTGTACTTTGTTTACCCACAATCTGCACACGGTATTGACCCCAAGTTCAAGGCTGTTTTGTGTATTTTGGTTCGAAACTTCCGGTGATCATTGTTTCAATGAACACAGCGAAATTGTGATGGTGCATCTAGGCGGATATTTTGCAGCTTGAGAGTCAGGTTTCTGGTTTGTTAGTATGCTTTAGGAGAACAGCCGACGAGTGATATTAATTACACTGGACTCTCCTGTCACTGTAGATAACTTGGAAGGAAATTAATTGTCGTCTGCGCTCATCTACTAATCTTGCAACTCGTCTGCTCGTCAGCTCGTCTGCTCGTCTTGACTCCCATTCTGATAGTTGTCATCTGTTCGCCACATACTGGTTGAGATGTCATCATGATATCGTCAACAATGTGTAGTAGCCATTTTGAATTTTACCGTCTCGTTTATCACCGACTTATGACCAGAGTTCAACCTGAAGCTCAACACAACCTGCTCTGTTTGTAAACCCTAAACCAGCTTTCCCAAAATGAATGACCTTGTGGATATGATTATATATTCTGGAATACCAATGGCCTTCAAACACCAACTCCATCAGCGGAACAGAACATGGAACATCTTTGAGTGGAACCAGTCTCACTGAAGTTAAGGATTTAGAATCTACATCCCCACCTCTTTCCCTAGACTAACATCTAGTCTCTGAAATGGACATGTTTTGCAGAAAAAAACAGTTCCTAAATTACAATAATAAAATAAAATGGAAAGGAGCCAAGAGACTTTCTTCATTTTCAGAAATCTAGACTTGCCACGTAATCTAGACTTGCATGGACTTCTTGGATATATTTGTTCCAGGGTGTCTATGACAGACTACTCTCTCCCTACCTCACGATCTTAGATAATAATCATTGTTACCTCAACAGTCAAAGCATTTTTAAATTTCAAGGAGAATTAAAACCCGACTTAGTTTAGTTTATAAACACTGAACGTATTCTCAGACACACAAATCATGTCTTTGAGTAGAACAGAACACGGTCTTTGGCGTGACGAGAGAACGCTTGGCTCCCCTTAAATGTATTACACTCGCGCAAAGGGTGTCACAAGAAGGAAGTTTTACAGTTATTACAAGCTCATAAAAAACGCAGAATGTGAAGCGGTGCAAATACACATGAGATCTAATCAGAGCAGCAGATCGTGTTACCTCTTTGTATGTTAAACTCTCGAGTTCTTGGTCATATAGCCTCCATATTGAGCATGAACACGCTACATAGGCCATGCTATTTACATATGTATTTTCGTTTCAGATATAGACATTCTGACACGTCATCACCATAAAGAGAGAGTGAGGGAGTGAGTTGAGTTTTACGCCGCACTCAGCAATATTCCAGCTATATGGCGGCGGTCTGTAAATATTCGAGTCTGTCTCAGACAATCCAGTGATCAACAGCATGAGCATCGATCTGCGCAATTGGGAACCGATTACATGTGTCAACCAAGCCAGCGAGCCTGACCACCCGATCCCGTTAGTCGCCTCTTACGACAAGCATGGTCTACTGAAGGTACATTCTAACCCGGACCTGCACGTGTATCAGCACCATAGAATGCCTAGTCTCGATTATACACTGGAAGATTCAATCGGGCACAACAGGGAAAGTTTTGTAAATTGTATGAATGGATCACTCAAGAACAGTGATGACACCAGGTGTTCAAGAAAAAGGAAACCATACCCTAACAGTAGCAGTCGGCACTCACACAATTTGCATGTAAAAGTAACTTTGTGTATTTGGCCTGGCACCCTAAAGCCGAACCCATGCAACGGCCGGCCGTAAAGAAATACATCACAATTTTCGTTGTAGCATTTTCGGAAACGTGAATACACGACACGTTTTTACTGATAACAACTTTTTTTATTCTTCATACGACATTGCTCCTTCATTAGGTGAATGAGTAACTGTGTGTTGAATTGTGTAACCCCTAACCTGATGAAGAAGTTGTTGTCCATAAAAACGTGTCTTGTATTCATGCTCGTCCAACTTCTAAATACCTTTCAATAACTTCATTTTCGGAAACGCTGCACAGTATGTTTCGGGTCATGTTCAAACAGGCAAAGCAACATATCTTGCAATAAATAACACCTTCTAATTTAAATCTTAAGAACAAACTGTATTTTTGACACAATGGGACTCTTTTAGACTCGAAATATAGACGTTTACGATTAAAGGTTACACAATTTAAACACACAATTACTAAAACCAAACTTGTAAACTGACGGGAATAGTCTAACTGGTGTCCGTACGGCGGTGTGAGTACACCCGTCTTGAACTGTTTATCCTTAACTAAACATTGAGCGTTTAAACGTGTGTACAAGACGCGATTAACAACGTTGTTTAAATACATGGTGTTGCTTTCAGTATTTGTAGGTCACTGGACTAGTTTGTTTACGTTGATTCTCTCACTTGTTTTCTGACCCTGTGACGGATCCATTCTAAACTTGTTAGCCATTTGGACGCCATGTTATTACTGTCGTATCACTGTAAGAATTTTCAAATTATTTATTATTACCGTAATGTCTCTTTATTATGGAAATACAATCGTCAGTGTATACATCTAAGGTCGCCATCTTTGAGTGGAACCAGTTTCACTAAAGTTAAGGATTTAGAATATGCATTTCTATCTTTCTCCTCTATCTCACGATCTTGGATTATTATCATTATTATGGTAGCATCTTCCCTATTGAGGGATTATTGACCTAAAATGATGACAACAAATATCTTCAGTTTCTATTGTTGTGAACACCACCAAGAGCGTTAGAATTATGCTTGAATGTACATTGATTCCTAAAATGAAATAACAACAATTAAGATATAGAGTAATGGCAAGTTCAGCATTGAATGTGTACATTGTTTATTATAATAAGGATGTAGTTTTTAAAGGTTGTCTCCTGTGCTTCACACTATCAAAAACATGGCATTTTGACGTCTTTCGAATCTTGTGACGGAGGGTATGAATGAGGATTGGTGACGTCATTCAACCATTGTGGTTTTCTTAAACAGCAGTTCCTACAAGTGTATATTTCTGAAGGGATGATTAAAAGAAAGGAGAAAGAGTTGGTATATATAGAAATTATTACACCTGTATATTATATATCATACGGTTTTACGTCATGGAAGAATCCATGAATTACTACATCTAATACAAAAATTCTGAGACTCGTTTTATAAGATC